TATCAGATTATAATATTTTAAGATCATATTTATCATTTAAATATCAAGTTACAAAATGTGGGTTCTTGACTAGTTTAATAGAAAAAATAGATTTTTCAATTCAATTAGATTATTTAGTTGAATACTTCTCCTCTTAGGATTTTGAGTCGCTTTGAATAACACAGAACATAAATTAAGTTCTTTTATAGTACAAACTCCAAACTAATTACCATGTTTCTTTCACTCTAGCTAGAACAACAAAGCGGCGACCATTGAACTATCACCAATTCGTTGGGAACATAACGTTTTATCAACCAGAAGGTTTGGTATTTGTACAATGATAGAGATCCACTGAGAGACTCACATGATTTCTTGTAGCATGAAACGTACGTCAAAAGGAAAGAGATCTAGAAAAGACCTTCTTCACGGCTTTCCATGTGAAGGAAGATGTTCTAATTAGTGACAAAGGAGGTCTTATGAACCTCGGAGACGACGAAGAATACGTATAATAAGCCGATGATTTATGTGAATCAAATGGAGTTTTGATAGTGTCTTCTTTCACGACGATGGAATCATCAACACTCTCTGGATTATTCTCCTCTATGTTCCAAAACCGAGCTTCTTTACGCTTCTTTTTCACCATGGCTAACACATCAAGCTTGTTGCAAATCCCCCATACCATAACCTTTTGATTGTAGTAGTCTACTTTCACCGAGTATATTCCTGTTTATTCGTTATTAATTGAACAACAGTATAATTAAGCCTATTGTATGCGTACGTCATTACAGGGAACAATATATTAATAAACATATATTTGGGATTAATTAAAACTATTGATTACCTTTGAGATGAGAAAGCGCCTTCTTGATTTTCTTCTCGCAACCGTAAGAATACAAAGGCACCATCATGTCTACGTACTGTGCTTCCACCTTGTTGTAGACCGGCACAATTTGCAGATCATCCATTATGGTTTTAATCGATATCTAATTACTTTCTAACTCAAACCATGCACACTTATCTCTTTATATAGTACTAAGAAACACATGCACCAGCCTATATATATGTGCATGTGTGTATACACCGATGAGACGAAAGTAATTGGGCTAGATGCAGAAGAGATCGTGTTATTGAAGACGTCATGTTGTAAGCTCTTTAGGTTCTAATGACTTGGATTTAGTGTAAAGTGTGTCACTACTTTTCTCTTTGTTAATTTGCTTTCACCAAAAATGCATTCCTTTAGATTTTGGATCCCATGTTACATGTTCCTCTTTTCCTTTATCCCTCAAAAGAAAACTTGAATTGAATCTTTTGAAATCTGAAGGAAAAAAAAAACAGTTATATTGTTAAAAAATACGAAAAGGGCTCCTTTCTTTGGATGATGCCTGATCCAAGCAAACTTGAATGTCTTCGAAAAAGTTACTTTACGAAAACACGAAAGGTTGATGCATCATGCATGGCGTCGACGTGGACATGCATAAAGAAAGAGAAGATACTTTTGAAAGGTGGAAATGAGTTTCGTCATTACTAAACTTTTAACTATTGCCAATTTAAATTTTAGCCAAAAACAAAAAACAAAAAAACTATTGCCCATTTATTTCCTGACGTCGGTATCTCTTAAAGTCGAACGGCGCCGATCTTGATGACTCAGACAGTAGCCCTACCATGTGAAACCCATTTAACTTCCACTTTTTCCATGCGTTCTAAATTTTACAAGCTTTCTATTATACTCTCTCCATTTTAAAATATAAATTATTTTAGTAAAACAGTATTAATATTAAAAAATTATTTTTTTTAAAAAAATTATTATTTTATATATATAATGAAAATAATTTAACTAATAAAAAAATGACTATAAAATACTATTGGTGATACAATAGTCAATAAAATTAAAAAATACCTAGAATTATCAAAATAACTTATATTTTAAAATATAAAAAAACTTCCAAAACAATTTATATTTTAAAATAGAGGGACTAGTATGGTTTAGGTCGAGGACAAGATAACATGGAAGGTTTTACAGTTCAAGAACATTATTTGAGAATTTATCATTCAGTCTATATGTATACTAATTTTTTTTTTTGGGTTTAATTGTACAACTCCACACACAATTAAAGACTACGGGTAACCGTAAATGAACTCAAAGAAAAATACATTAGCAAGAAAATTTATAGTATGTAATACCTCACATTTTCATTTTATATGATATTTAAAGTCTTAGCAAAAAAGAAATTTTATAGTCGATCCGAAATTCACTTCTTTTTTTGTGGCATATGATCACACCGCACGTGGGCAATTTTACGTCACAAACTTCATTCCGGATTATTTAACATTATAAAACTGTAATGTGATCAGCTTGTTTATCAATGAGAGATTTAGATCCGGAAGAAAATAAACTATAGTAATAACTATAAAACAAAATATCGAGGCAACATGTTACAAAGGACTTGGAAGAAATAATGTAATATGATACTATCTAAATCGAAAAATCAAGATGAGAAGTGTTGAAAAGATTGACCCTTGTATTTGTATGCATGTTCTCAAACATTTTTGAAATAAAGAAGATATACAGTTTTTATATGATTCTAAAGCACATCTTATTGGATCATTTATATATGAAAGGCAACACTAATATAGTGATTATTATTGTTATCTTAGAACATTTAAAATTTTATATTTGACAAAAAAAACATTTTAAAATTTAATCTTGTTAAAATAGAGGGAAAAATCCTTATTTCACAAACATCATTTTTATAGATTTTGTTTTAAAATTTTATATATTTGTAAAAATATTCAAATATCAATAGAACTTGTCCACTAACTTTTCGATTCAGAATGTTTTTAAATTTCATTATATCTTCAAAAATAACAACAAAAAATAGTGGGTTCGTTCCTTAGCGCTTTTCTTGCGAGGAAGTGACCAATTCTCAATCTGTAGATGGTTGAGATTGGCTTTCAGTGTCCGTGTGTAAGAGATAATGTTCTTATTTGACGTTTTTCTAGTCGTTGTTCAAGGTTTTTACTTTGGTCCTTTCTCTCCCTCGAAGTTATGATTCTTTGGAGATGTCGCTTTATTGTGGCTATTATGCTATGTTCTGCTTTGTTTTTACGTTCCATCATGTTTGTGTTGTTACCGGTGAAGCTTGTTTCTGGTCCTTCTAAGTGTCTCGAAGCGTTTGTTTGTTTGGTACACCTACTACATCAAGTTATTATGGAAGGTCGTGAAAGCAATTTGAATCAAATTTAACCAAGTCGC